TCTCTCTCTCTCTCTCTCTCTCTCTCTCTCTCTCTCTCTCTCTCTCTCTATATATATATATATATATACATATATATATATATATGTATATATATAAAATATGCAGCGACACGTTGCTCGACTGGGTTTAGCATGTCCGCCTCACAGTGCAGAGGTACAGATTTTAATTCTGGCCCTCCTGTGTGAAGTTTGTATGTTCTCCCCAGGCACTGTACTCCAGTTTCCTCCCACATTACTAAAACATGCATGGCAGCCGAATGGATCACTCTAAATTGGCGAGAGGTGTGATTGGTTGTTTGTCTATGTGTGCCCTGTAATTGGCTGGCCACCAGTTCAGGGGTGTTTACCCCACCGACTGCCCGAAGACAGCTGGGATATGGTCGAGCACACCTGTGACCCTAGGCATAAAAAAACTGGATTGAAGAGGATTTTTTTAAATTAAATAGTCTTAATAAAAACCAGGCTGATCTGAAATAATTCCTGTTTCCAGTCTTCATCTTTCAAATTTATAGCGTTAAACAAATTATTGTGCCACCATCAAGTGGTTGACAATGTAATTACACCCAAAATAAATGGGAAGCAAAACAATGAGAGTTAAAAACTACAAAAAGAATCTGCAAAATATCGGGACTGGGAACCCCGACCCCCTGATGGAAGCAGGTTTACTATACTGATCCAAGTGTAGCTAACGTGCCACGAAATGTCACCCATGACGCAAATTAGGACAGCCCTTGCCTTACTTGTTCACTTACGTCTTACATGATGATGCATGTTGAAAGTGATTGTGTTCTTTCTATTTAGTGACCTGAGCACGGAGAACCTGCGCTTCCTCAGTAGCCGCCAGGCTTTGGCTGACCTGGCCCACTTTCGGACTGTGATGGCTGAGACTCAAGGGCTGGTCAACCGGAAGTGGGTGGCATTTGGGGGGTCTTACCCTGGGTCTTTAGCAGCGTGGTTCAGGCTGAAGTATCCTCATCTGGTGCATGCCTCTGTGGCCACCAGTGCACCAATTCACGCCACAGTCAACTTTCCAGGTAGAATGCAACATAGTACTGTATTAGAACAAATAGAAATATCGACCATCTTAAACAACAAATTGATGCTTTCTGAAGTTGGCCCGTGCCCGGACAAATGCATTTGTACGTCGATTAAAAAGTTTATTTTCTGTTGTACATATAACAGTGGGTTTTTTTTTTCAAATGTATAAAATTGCAGCCATTGAGGCTGCAGACGTGTGTGTACCAGCTGCTTTGAAATGTTTATAACTTACTGAAGAAAATACTGAAGAGTGTCTCACATTTAAGACGCTTTCTCAGTGATCCCAAGAAAATGTCAGAGACAAAACACAACGCAGCTTGCATTGTAAACAGGTCTTATCGCTTTTCCAACTATGTCAACAAGACCAATTTTTTTTTTTGTTGGTGCAAAAACAACACTGCAGCTAGTCAGGATTATTGACAAGCTACCGAATTTTCTATCATTTGAGGGGTTCTTTTCGAGTTGCAGGTTTTTGTCAATGCGAAAATAGCTTTTCTTCTCTCACTGAGGTGAAAAAAAACATCCTCATTTTATTTTCAACCTGAATTTTTTTTTTTAGCTTCAAGTATGTTCAAGCACCAAAATCAAACTTCATGTGTGGATTGCTGCCTTTGTTGTTTGACTTGAGCAAATGAACCTTTGCATTCCACTTCAGTTTTTGTATGCTATCATGTATTTTTTTGTTAGTTTAATTTTTTTAGGAGTCATGTTTTTTTTACTTTCCACCTCTGTTTTTCTCTATGTTTTTACCAGAGTACTTGGAGGTTGTGGGGCACTCACTGGCTTCAGAGAACACTGACTGTCCTCTACTGGTAAAAAAGGCTTCGGATATCCTAATAGAGCAACTCAGTGACCCTGCAAACTATGACAACATCACCAAAGACTTCAAGTATAGTTCATGCACTCTTTGAAATACTTTCTTTATGGTTATCTCAGAGTATTTTTAAGATGAAGTAGCTTGAATGGTGTGCATCGGTTTACCTAAAACATAAGTAGATTTATCTTTTCAAAGAAACTGATTTCAGTCTACAAATCTCGTCTATATCATATATATTTTTCTGCACATTTTTATCGCATGCCAGCATGTGGTTTACATTAGGTACACTTGTACAATCTAATGGCATACAAGACCTGAATTACAAAAGCAGTATTGCTCAATTTGAAATGACACCATCCATTTCATCATAGATTTGATTAAAATCAATTGTGTCTCATCTGGTTGCAATCAAAGACTGCAGTGCAACTTTCTGCCGATTTTCTCCAAGACATACTCTTATTAATCACCGACCAGTTGCACACAAAGACAAGATTCCTTCCCATCAATTAATCTAGTCTTCTGTCTTCCTAGCGGTAAATGTATTTAGTGTGAGAATTGAAAAGCCTTAATTGCCCTCTGTCTGTGGTTATGTTTTTGTGCAGTATTTGTATCATGTTAAGTTATTGCAGTGACAGCAATGACAGTTCTCATTAATGGCATTTGATGTCAAACAAGTTGTTGTTTCAGTGCTCTCTTGACCACATTGAGCATTGTAAATGTTGTGTTCGCTTGTTGCAGATTCTGGAGCCTGTCAAAGCAGACATGTTCTTACGTGTACACTTACCAGCTTCCAAAAGACAGCATTTCAGAGAGCAGCTATTGTTCAGTATGATTGAAGTTGTTGTTGCCATGCCAAAGAGTGTTGTGTTTTCTGTCGAATTGGCTGTATTAGTGAGTGGGAGACTCCAAATATTTGTAGTTATTCTAACCCTGTCCTGATTTTTACTTTCCTTCCTCTCCCTTCCTTTTTTTCCCCCACACAGCTTGTGTTCCAAACTAGAAATTCAAACAGAGACAGATTCTGCCTACTTCCTGGAAACGCTTGCTGGCAACTTCATGGATGTGGTCCAGTATAACGAAGACAACAGGGGGTTTGAGGTAGGCAATCATAGACCCATTGTATTTAAGGCCAACATAGTGTCTATATCAAAAATATTGTTCTCGTAAACTCAGGGGAACTTCCAGGGAGCAACAGTTAAAAAAGGAGTATGTATCCAAAATTTGTCTTTCAGAGTTTTTGTTTTTGAACAAAGAAAAAAAAACAGATGTTTTCTCTCAAGCAACTTTCTGACAGAGAATCAGTCCAATATGAATAATTTTGTCCCTGGAATCCAAACTGATAAAAATATATTATGTGTTTGTCATAAAGTTGACACATTGGATGTCATAAATGGTTTTTAAAAAAACAGACAAGGATTTATGATTACAAACATGAATCAAATCAATAAATCCATCAAATTCATTTTAATGCTCACTTTTATTTAACCCTTTCAGGGACAGTGTTTACGACAGTGGACAGCTTGTCATGATATCGGGTTACAGGATGCATGAAAGGGTTAATTGGCAGCCCAATAAAAATGTTCCTGCGTTTGCTGGTTAATGTATCATTTAAGAAAGTGTTAAAATGGTTATTGTTCACAGTGTTAAAATAGACTTTTGATGTTTGCTACAGAAATTCCCTGCATGGTAACAGGGGCCTTTTCTTCTCCTTGATAAAGTTTTTCAGTTCGCATCTGGTCTCTCCTTCTTTTTTTCAGTCCCTTCCCATTTCTGTCCAAATGACTGTGTGAAAAGTAACAAAAAGAGTCTTGAGTGTCTGGATTCCGGTCTCTTAAAGTTAAATAGACGCCTTCAAGGAAGTGAAAGGATCAGTTGGCCACTAAGACTCTAATACTAGCAGAGAAACGTGGCCAGCAACTGCCTCTGTGACAAAAGGTCCTGAGCAACCCACCACATTTCAGACAACCCACAGGAATGTACTGTAGATAAAAACAGCAGTGTGATTTAACTCAATAAGAGTCACATTAGTTGCTTTCCTGACTGCAAGTAATGAGAGGGGTGCTTTTTAAAATATGGAGTGATGCAATTCGAGACTTGCAGGATTAAGTACTACATATATCCATTACCCAGAATGGAAGAGAGATGCAGAGGAGGATGTCATATTGGGGATTTTATCCTCATTGTCATGTGCAAAAACAGCTGAGACCATCATCAAGTGTTTACTCATACTTGCTAATGATAATTAGTCACTGTACGTAGATAGCGAACTTAGGAAAATGACCGTGGCGATCTCATTGAAGGGAGATATACAGTACATGTGCATACAGTATACAACATACAGTAGACACTCATGAATATTCATATTTTAATTAAGAAAAGCTTACTGCCAAAAGATGTACCTGTATTCATCTTTGACTGTTTTTTTTGTTTGCCACAGGGTGTAGTGGGCACCAACATCACAATCAAGGTGCTCTGTGGGGTGATGGCAGACACATCACTTGGAGACCCGTATGCCCGATATGCTGCTGTGGCCCGCCTCATGATGGACACCTTTTCAATGAAATGTGTGGACGTCAGCTTTAACAAGAATCTGAGAGACATGACTAATACATCCTGGGATGGGCCGGCCGCAGGCGGAGGTGAGAATGAGTCTGTTTGTCCCATGGGAAAAAGTATTTTCACCTCTGTAAATACAGGTTTTCCTTTTTGGTTTGGTACGATCATAATGAGACCTGTAATTTTTCTACTGCTGCCTAAACAATTTCTATTGACCTTTGATATTTTTGGGTCTTTGGCTACTAGGTGAGTTGGCATGTTTTTGTCGACAGCAGAGGACTCATTACGCGGACAAAATGATGTCATGCTGAAACGTTCCAAAGCCCAAAAGGCAGAGAGAATGACTGCATGCCAGCCTGAGGAGACCAGAAAGTACAAGTTTAGAGCTGGTTTAGAACGATGAAGTGTGCCCTCATGGTGAAACGGTGAAATGTTTTCACCTTGTCACTGTGCTTTTATTTTGACCCACTCAGCTCAATATTATGCCCATCATTCACTGTTTAGGTGCAGTTGCTTGATTTTTATCTGTCTCATAAACAGAGAGTGAAAATGAGCAAATACAGAGTGGAATGAGAGGTGTTTTTGTGTTTACCACAGCAAATCAAAAAGCCTTTCTTCTTTCTACTTTGGAACCAGCAATACTGTAACCAGGCAGTTGTTCTGGTTCCCAAGCCTACTTTGATGAGTGGGAGGGCTGGGATCATCACCACTTCCTGTTGTGATATCTGCATAAGGCACTCGTACTAGCCTCATTTACTTGCAACTTGTTTCCTCTTGAGGTCTAAAAACCTCAATGTCACTACTTGTGTCGAAATAACTATTTGTTTTGACTCGCTGTGTTTAGTATGAGCTGCTCTGCTGCGGTGTCTGTGCGTTTGTTCCCATCAATCAAGTAAATGTGTAGTCGCTGTGAGTAAACTGTGTGTCACCAGGGAGACAGTGGGTCTACCAAACCTGCACTGAATTTGGATTTTATCAAAGCACCGATTCCCCTAACCAGCCGTTTGCTGGCTTCCCTCTGGAGTGAGTAAACACAAAATTTAAAAGCCTGTTCTGTTTTTTTTTTTAAATTTTATTTTATTTTTATTTTTTATTATTATTATTATTTTTTTTTTTTAACGTATGATTCATTTTCTAATTCTAATTGTATCTTCCCATCAAGGTATCATGTGAAACAGTGTGCAGACTTCTACAATATCACCGCTGAGCAGCTTGCGGCGTCTGTGGTTGAGACCAATGAGTATTATGGCAGCTACGATATCCACTCAGATAGAATAGTTTTCCCGAATGGGTCCATTGACCCCTGGCATGCACTGGGCATCACTCAAGACATCGGGGCTGACCTTCCGGCTGTTTTCATCAAAGGTGAGTAAGAGCATGGGGCCATGGAAAACTCTACCAAATGGTAAAGATGTGCTTTGGTTTGGTTTGGGTAGGTGCTTAACTGAACCCAAAAGAACTTCTGATCTCAACTTAGTGAGTAGGTCAAAAAGCATTTCTAGTTGCAGCTCTTCAACAAAGTATGTCTGCCATCGTATGCATGCTTGTCTATATGTGTCCTGCAATTGGATGAAGATCAATATAGAGTGTAGTCTGCCTCTTGTTCCAATGTCAAATGGGAGAGGCTCCAGCTCACACATGACCCTCATGAAGACATGGAGTATAGAAAATGGATGGATGTGGCAAGAGATGCTTTCCATGAGTATTAGGTCTAGCATCTCCAGTTGGTCCAGAATGCTGCTGCTCGCCTCTTAACTGGTACTCCTAAGAGAGAGCACATAACTCCAACTCTGGCAATCCTTCACTGGTTCCCGAGATATTTTAGAGTTCTTTTTAAGATGCTCTGATTTGTTTTCAAATCTTTAAATGGCCTCGCGCCACCTTACCTCTCTGAGCTCCTTCGCCCCTACGCACCTGCCCTGTGCCTCAGGTCTGCGGATAAGACGCTATTAGAGGTACCAAGAACTAAGCGGAGGCCCAGAGTGGACCGATCCTTTTCCGTTGCTGGTCCCTCTCTTTGGAATGACCTCCCACTGAACGTTCGGCAAGCCCCCTCGCTGCCCATCTTTAAAACTAGTCTTAAAACTCATTTTTATTCTTTTGTCTTTTGACTCAGCATGAGACTTGATTTTTAGTTTGACTGTTTTTGTACTTTCTGCTGTCTTTGTTATTAATTTATCATTTTATTGTTTGGTGTTGTATGAATTACTTTTGCTCCATGCACAGCACTTTGTACACAGTAGTAGTTGTTTTAAAATGCTCTATAAATTCAGTTGAGTTGAGTCTTTTTGAAATTATTATTTATTTCATTGAGTCAAAGTAGGTAATTGATGATTTGTTTGCAGTATCGTAATGTGAATTGTTAAAATAAAACCGTTTTTTTTTTTCCCTCAGTTGGATATTTTTGCCTTAACTAATGTTGACTGCTGCTGTCATGTTTCTTATTGTGAGTGGGTTTTTTTTTTTTTTTTGTTTATGTAATTCAGGAACAGCACACTGTGCCAACATGTACCCCGCCAACTCCAAGGATCCTCTCCAGCTAACACTTGCCAGGGATCACATCTTCTTACATCTGCAACAATGGTTGAAGCAATAAATGCTTTCTATCTTGTGCCTGTGCACTGATCATACTGTTTAATCGCTGCTTGAAAATACAAGATTTACGGTCAAAGTTACACATATCTAATTATTGGAAGTGTATGACAAAATTGAGCTGATGATTAAAGATATTTTTATGCGCTGTGTATGTATTGTATATTGTCATGTCTGCAATGCTTCAAAGACTTGTCTGTGTTACTGTTACACTTGATATTAGTGTTACTTTTTCTGATTGACCATTCATTTATAGGTCTTATCAACTATGTCCGGGATAGGGATTAAGAGTGCTAATTAGAAAACAGGTTGAGCTTCTCACAGCGAAAAATAGTTTTGTAAGTGGTAACGATGAGGAATATCTACCAATATGAGTGAATTATTGTTTAGAAAGTTGACAACAGTCGAATGGTTGGGGTTGACTCGGTACACTCATATTTACATCTTATCGAACTTAAGTGGCACATTTTGGGGTAAAGCAGGAAGACTCCAAAAAATAAAAATAAAAGCACAGGGAGAGCAAGAAAAGGCCACATTTCTTGGCAAAGCTGAAAGATGTGGCTTTCTGCTACCTGTGAAGATCTGGTTGCACAAGTTCAATCTTGTTGCTCACGAAACGAAATGTTCTCTTTGGAAAACACGGGGGCCGTGATGATATCTCCAATGGGATGTTTTTGTTTTAAGTACACAGTCACACAACTTCTTTTCGAAAACGTGGGATGTCGACAGCATGCTGCAAGTCTGTCGTTCCAGTTCACAGCTGTGTTCACTCAATGAGCCCTTGAAACACACACTCACTGACAAAATAACCTAACCACTTCCTCCATGAGTGTTTATTTTCACAAGTCACATCTTAGCATCCCAGCTGTTGCAACCCTATTTATTGCATAACCATAAACCCTCAAAGACCACCCAATCCCACTTCACTGAGTAGAGTAAATTGCAGTATAATACTGTACTGTAATGGCTGAGTGAAGCCAGTTGCCAGTGATTTATAAAAACATTCAAATGTAACCATAATTGCATGGGAGTGATGACTAATGTTACTTAAAATAATAATAATAATTAAGAGAATTTAACCACAGTGCGGTGACATGAGATAGTGTAGCTGGGATCCCAAATGTAATCCATTCAAACAATTTAGTCACCACAAAAGGCGTGTATATGTATATATATATATGTGAAAAAGTTAATGAAACGGTGAAAAACAGATTTCTTGTCGTTTTCTGTCGGAGGCAATCAGTGTCACCTGACTCTCGCATCCTCACTCAGCCAATAGAAGGCACGCTTACACTATCCCGGAAGTATCTCCTCACTCAGCCAATAGATAGACCGCTCGCACTATCCCGGAATTATCTCCTGCCGCCAGCATATATACAGTACAGTACTGTATTATCATCCATTTTCCGATCCGCTTATCCCCACAAGGTTCGCGGCATATATATATATATATATGTAGAGAGAGAGAGAGAGAGTTTTTGCAGTATACCCCCCTCCCCCACGTAACATTCGTCGTAGAAAAACGTACATTTAATAGTCATTTGCGTTGTTGGCATAGTTGGTTTTTTTTTTTTTTAATCCAGGGCGGCCAAATTGATGCCCCTCAATCCCCTTGAGTATTTTGTTGAGTAGACACCAGCAAAACAATTTATTTTTGTAAATGTTAATTTTAAATGTCTTGGGCAACTTAAAAGTTAAATCTAGTTTCTCACTTCTTATAGTCCACCTAAATCCAATGATTTTTGGGGGTAATGCAGAAGAAATTGTTCTTTGATAGTAGGGATTTATTTTGAAAGATTAACGGAAATTGCTGCTGTAACGTGGAGTATAGGTACCACCCTAAACGTTCATATGATCAGTCAGGAGGTGGAGTTGAGTCCGTCTAAGTAGTATTTAAACGGCGTTGCTCAGTTTCGTTTCGCGGTTCGTGGAGCGATGATCATTATAGATGCACTCGTCAGCTGTGTGTGATATATTGTTTAGGCGACCGTGAGACTTTGAGATTTTGGCGAAGAAAGTTTCACCTGTGGTGCAAGAGGAGGACGCGTCTGTTTGTCACAGTAAGTAACGTCACTTTCGAAGACTGGTTATTTGTCCAACGTTACTTGACGAAACTCCGTTAATCGTAGTCATTATGAAGCATTCACTTTGATTACCCTTTAGCGATTTTAGGTAAATTTGTCACCGTAAATAACACTCAAAACGCTATGCAGAGCTGTCTAATCGAAGCTATTAGATTCTTTGCATATTTGGTTCGACTGTCAGTGTAAAAGTCCATGACGTGGTTTGAATTGGTGGCACCTACACTTGACATTAATTATGATCGTAAGTATGCCAAAACCAACAAACAAAAAACATAACTTCAAATGGTAGGAGACTACCTTTTCTGTAAATCTAGCGTGTCTGTAGTTGTCTTTCCCTGTAATTCCATTAAACTGATAAATGTAAAAAAAAATCCCACATTTTATTGAAAACAAACTTTTTTTAACATGTTCATAAATGTTCACTGAACATTACACGTGTTTTACATTGTTTAATTAACCCTATTAATTGAATTGAATACAACTTTATTGTCAAATGTGCTGTACGTATGTGTAACATACAGCACAGATGAAATTTCTTCCCTCTCAACCAGACAACAAGAGGAGCCGCTGCGGGTGTCCGCGCCGCCATCAAAAGAAACGTTAACAAAAAATGACAAAATAATACAAGACAACACATGAGACACAGACAATCGTGCAATCTTAACCACTTTCCTGCATACACTTTGTTGTCTGAAGCAGTTATAGATGAAAGAGGAGCGAATCAAAGTGTCCTTTCCACCACTTTTAACTAACACTTTCCAGAAGTGATCCCGAAAAATACACTTTTTTTTTAAACTTTGCCCAGCCTGGGCTACTCAATTTAGAACATTGTGGGATAACTGGCTTTGGTAACTCAAATTTTTTTTTTTTCTTTTCATAAAAATTTGTGTTCGTGGAGATGCAAGGATCTCTTCCAATTTTCCGGATGAGGTACTTTGCTCTTACTGCAGGGTGGCCATTGACATGCTGCCTGGGGGAGCGCAACAGTATTTTCTTTTTCGTGGTATCTGGCAAGATACATTAAAAAGAGGGAATTTAATGGATGCCTAACTACCAAAGTCAGATGGCATGGTAAAATTGGTTTGCTAACAGTTTATTGTGTTCATTCATTTTCCGAACCGCTTGATCCTCACTAGGGTCGTGGGGGCTGCTGGAGCCTATCCCAGCTGTCTTCGGGCAGTAGGCAGGGACACCCTTAATCGGTTGCCACACAGAAACGAACAACCATTCGTGCCCACACTCACATATAGGGACAATTTTAAGTGTTCAATCAGCCTGCCATGCATGTTTTTGGAATGTGGGAGGAAACCGGAGGACCCGGAGAAAACCCACGCAAGCACAGGGAGAACATGCAAACTCCACACAGGAAGGCCGGAGCTGGAATTGAACCCGGTATCTCTGCACTGTGAAGTCAATGTGCCAACCACTCGATACCGGGCCGCCCGCAGTTTGTGTAATGATGAATATCAATTGTTACTGAAATGTTGGCAAAATGGAAATAAATGCTCAAAATAAATACAAAGTAAGGTATTTCAGAAAGCTCCATTGAAAGTAGGCACCAAAATTGATGCTATTATGGCATTTGATTGGGAGGAATGTCAGCGCAATTTGACTGTCGGTGCTGGACAGCCTCCAGGGTGCTTGTGTTTTTCACAGCCCCGTTTTGTTCAGTGGAGATGTCGGCGCTGTTGAACAGTCTGAGTTGGTGCGGCTGGATGGATGGCTGCTGAAGTTGAGGATAAGGAGAGAGGAGTGTCAATTGAAATTAATTTACATGAGACAGGAGAAGTGAACCAATCTCTTTTTTTCGTCAATAGATGCTGCAGCTTCTTGTTGACTTTGAAACTTTGCTTGTAGCCGACGTGTGCACATTTTGAGCATGACGTCTGTGATCCACTGGTGAAAGGACACTTTATGATTCTCTCCTCTTTCATCTCAAACTGCTTTAAACAACAAAGCGTATGAGGGAAAAGTGGTTTGGACTGTCCGTGTTTTGTGTTGTTTATTAGTTTACTTCATGTTAACTGTTTTGTTAAGCGCTTTGTGACAGCTGCTGCTGTTGTGAAAGCGCGCTATAAATCAGGATGTATTGTATATTTTTTTTATTTGAAAAAAATCTAATCACATGACATTTGGTTGCACCACTTGGTGTTTTCAAGATCAATAAAGTCTGACATAATTAGTCCTCTTAATAAAAGAGGTTCCAATAAAATACATTTTCATTCAAAGAACAGTCCTACATGCATCAATCAATCGCAAAACGTTAACTTCTTGACTTGTAAAGCTCAAAAGATAACTCAAGTAAAAAATAATTGTTTTGAAAAGTGATTAGATTTATTAAGGCAGGGGAAACACTTTTTTTTTTTTTAAAGCTACCAGACACTGTGTAAAAATCGTTCTCAGCTCCTTTGTTTAATCAGGAATTTACTGTGGCTAATCAGTTAGCCAAAAATCTCAAAACTTGCAAGAAAATGCCATGATCCCTGCGCCCCCCTCCCAAAAAAAAAAATCAAACAGTTGGGGAATAAAAGAATTGACATCAACTAGTCTGGAAAGGGTTACAAAGTAATTCCCAAAGCTTTAGGACTCCAGCAAATCATGGTGAGAGCCATTATCCATAAACTGAGAAAGCATGGGACATGTGTGAACCTGCTTAGGAGTGGCCTACAGAAATCGGCCAACAGCAGAGGACAGATCACAAAAGACCCAGGACAAAGTCTAAAGAACTGCTGGCCTCCCTTGCTTCCGTTCAGGTCAGTGTTCATGACGTAACAGTGAGGAAGAGACTTGGCGAAAATGGCATCAATGCTAGAGTTAGAAGGTGAAAAGCACTGCTGGCCAAAAAAAGAACTGAAAGAAAACAATAAAATCAAAATTAAAACCTACACCTGATTCAAATGAACAGGTTTGAATTAGGTGTGTTGCAACAGGGAGAGTTGGAAAACATGCAGGACAGCTGCCCTCCAGGACCTGAGTTTGACACCTATGACCTTAGCCTGATTAAGACCTGTTTTGAATAAACATAGATGGCAATGGCGAGTGATGAAAAAAGCGGAAGAGGCGTGGCCTGGCCGGGGGCGTGGTTACTTATAAAAGTGGCACTAAACATGCTGAAGATAAAGTGTATTGAATTTACACACTATTTGAAAATTGAACAGAAAAAAATCCCAAGATCGCCACTATTCTTTCAAGTGAAAAGTTGTGCAATTTTGCTTATGCATTCCTGGTGAGCATATGTAACTCCAGATTTGCTGCTCAAAATCAAAACTAAAAAAGTAAACACATTCCCTGCCATATTTAAGATTTGTTCATGACTTGTATTCATAAAGTGTTGTGTAAATGTGATAAAAAGCTGTTGATTCTTACCTCATACAGTGATAGTGAATATTTATTATGCATACAATTTATTATGCATAACCGTGCTTTATTATCCAAGACAAAACGTGAATTATCAATATGAATATAAAACGCAAATAAAAACAAATAAATGTTATCATGCTGTTGCTACAAATGCATACCAAATAAAATTGAA